GGACAACGCTACTGCGAGATGTCATTGACCTCGAGTCTAACTTAGCCTAAATTACATTTAACCACATTTTAAGGCTTCCTTTACACTCTCGGTTGGCTTTAGTATTGCCCCCCATGTTACAAGGTGTACCAAGGCCGACTACGTATGACCTCGTGCTGAATATTAACCATGCGATTAGAGCCTTCGATGATTTAGTATATCGAATCAGAATAACATGCGAACTAACTATATTACGTTTATCATACTACAACAGCTCGACAAGACAATCGGCAAATATTCGTAGACCTCAGCCTTCGATGTATCACAGCGGCACAAGACGCATGCGCCATAGTGGTCAATTGCAAATTTGGCGTAAAAGAAGAAAAACTTGTATTCTATAACTCGGACCGTTCCACAGGACCCCCAAGTAAATATTAACAACCGCCACTCGTGCGCAAAGCCCTCTCATATTACTACCCCAAAAAGCCATTTGAACAATTAGATAATAGGGGGAGGGGAGGGGGGTTCCATAAGTCCTCCCCGCCCCGGAGAAGACGGCGAAGAATTGGAATTCAATTCTTCCTGCAACATGTCCTTTTAGTGAAACAGTCTTTTATGGAGGACAATTTAATATAACGATAAATACTGTAAACAAGTAGCCAAACACTGCAGATGGTTTCGTTTCTACAGCACATAGCTACGAACGCATTAATTAAGCGAGTTTTCTAGTCGTCCGACGATGATGAAAGCCCACCTGTACAGTGACGTGTTTGTTAACTTTTGCTTGCTATAAGCAAAATTTTACTCGTAATAGAAAATTTTGATTGATGGTTTACTGGACTTTTCCTCTTTGAATACCATAGTTATTCAGACGCCGGCGGTATATACTAAAAATTTTCTTCTTTAGCACGACTTTAAAATTGAAAATAGTAAGATTAMGTTGCTTTTAAAATTCCGCAAAACTGTACTCAATTAAGTAACAAAAAACAAAAACAAATGAAGAGATAACTAGAAAATCTCAGCTTGTATGAAATAAACAGAAATGGAATCAGAAATTTCACTTGTTCGCTGCGCTTACTCGTTCGACTTCTGATACGTCACCAACTTGTGCAAAAATACCGTACAAGTGCCCTCCCCATGAAGTAATCTATCTGTAGGGCTTAAGTAATCCAAGCTAGTGCAAATAAGAAAACGGATTGTTCAACAACAACAACAAAACAACAAATAAGAAATCTGAACCTCCCGGCCTCAGTAAAAAACAAACAAGTAATAATGTTCAATTTTTTTTTATTTTTTTATTTTTTTGATAAATGAAGGGCCTACTTTAAATACGATACGATGAAAAGCAAAAGCTTGCTGTCTAAAATCTAAAAAGGTAGAGAACTAGGAATTTATATAGTAGTAAAGAGTTGTTAACAGTCAAATGAAGCTCAAAAAAAAAAACAAAAAGAAGAAAACAAAAATTAAAAAAATTAAAAAAAACCTGAATTAAATAAGAAGCAATCTATTTACAAAGTTGATCACTTTTCATATATGCGCGCTGATTCAATACAGCGCTTCTTAATTTGGTCTCTTGCGTTTGGTAGAATATTTTAGAAAATTTTAAAAGCTGTTTTAATACTGGTCTTCACTGCTTCTCGAATGACGCGAATGCGCCACAAGTACAGAAGAGGATTCATTGCTGAGTTAAGTAGCGCGATGAACTCGACTACACTAACACTCACGTACCTGATTTCTAAATATACCAGTGATGAGAGTTGTTGATCAGCTGTAACAGAAAAAGCAATTAAAGTGCAAATAAATGGCGCATAAAATAAAATGGTAAAAATAAAAACAACAAACATAGTGGTAAGAGATTTTCTGTATTTGGCGACATCAATGTTGCAACTTGGACGTGCACCTGCTTCTGCGTTTTGGACACTTGGAGATACTAAGGACGAGGTGATCTTTCGTAAGCTGTAGAATGCCATTGAATAGCAAACGGTGATAGTTGAAACCAAAACAAGCATTCCAACTCCGCAGAATAGAATTAAAGCTAACGAAGTTTCATCATTCCAACTTGCTTTACCAAACACTGCTGCTAAACTAACACACGATATGATCCACAATGTCAGTAATATGTACAGTACACGTTTTTGAGTGACCACACTTTGATATCGGTTCCTTAACTTGACTGCAAGCAAACGATCCAGGACTATGACCGTCAGAGTTACCAGAGATATGACGCTGAATGCGATAAGCACACATGTAGCGCATTTTAAGAGTAGACAAGAAATATTTATTGACGAGCCTCTTAAGGCAACAATATTATAAATGACCATGAGTGGTTCTCCAACGGCTCCGAAGAGGAGATCAGAAAGAGCAAGACTTCCAATCAAGATGTAGGAAGGTTTGTGAAGGGATGGTGTCTTCCAGATGGAGAATAGGATCAGAGAATTTAAAACTGTTGTTACCAGTGCTACAGTAGAGTACATAGTAGACATTACTAAACGATAAGTTGGGTTATCAAACTGGCTTCTTTCAAATGCGCAAGTCTCATCTTGAATGTCTCCCATTTTATAGGTTCCTCAAATTCAGTACTCTTTTCCTCTATTTCTCCGTCTTCTTGTTCTTTTTACGCTTTACTTGTTTATAATAAGCAAGAACCTTCCCAAGAGAGTAATTTAGTCTAGTATGGACGTTTCACAGATTTCACTGATCCGCTCTTTAATGTCGGTCATCAGACGTTTGCTATAAATGCCTTTATCGGTGCGGTCGACGAAATTTGACTTTCCTACGCGGGTGACTTTAATAAATCGATTTTCAGAGAAAATAACCTATTTAATTCAATGCAGTTTGGTTGCTATGTTCTCAGTGTTAACGAAATGATACAAGTTGAATAATAACACGAATTTTGTGACCATGCGCATACTTTGCCTCAATTGGGAACTCCCTATCAACAAACACCGCACCTGCATGGAATTTCCAAGTATTTCCTTTTGAGAAAAAAATGTATGCAGATTTATATAAATTTCTTACTTCACTGAACTGCGTGGCTCGTTATTCCTCCATTGTCGCTCAAAGTAGCATTCATCTTTATCGAAATACTTCTACTGCACTATAAATAGATATGAATATGCATTTTAAATCGAACCAGGTGCTACATGAGTTTTTATCTTTTTACATTCATTTATTTGCCTCTCGATCGTGAAGCAAGAAATAGTCATCAATCGCGACCTATTTAATTGTAAAGGGCTGCTGAGCTTTTAATTGGTATTTAACTACTCTTTCATTTCTTTCACATTTCTTTCTACTCTTTAATTTCTTTTACGGTATGTCCGAATAAAAACACATAAAGTTTTAACAACGTTCAAAAGTATTGAAAAGATATGACATTGTAGTGAGAACGAATCGCTTTTTATTACGCAAAAAACACACAAAACAAAACAAAAAATTGAATTAAAGAGAATTTTAAAATCCTCTTTAATTTCTTTCACAGTACGGTATGTCCAATTATAAAAACACATAAAGTTTTAACAGCCTTCAAAAGTATTGAAAAGATATGACATTCTAGTGAGATCGAATCGCTTATTCATTACACAAAAAAAGCACGCAAAACAAAACAAAGAAGAAAGAAAAGACATCGTGTTTGAGTGATAATGCTTTTATTACACTAATACCTTTTTTAATTATAGGTGTGTGCTCCCTACCAAAGCCTTAGTTTCTATGAGGCATTGCTCTGCTGGAACTCCTGAATCTCTATAAGGAAATCAGTGTCGAGGAATAGTTAAGAATATGAGACAAGTGATTATGAGGGAAAATCATTTTGTTATTTGAATCCTGAAAGAAAATTTGGCTGATCTAAGTCAGGGCATTCAGGGACTCCTGCATCGAACCCTGAGCTGCCAAAGTTAATTCAGGGTACGGCTATCTCCCAGATGGAACCCTGAAACAACCTCTAGGCTGATGAAAGTCAAGGCATGACTAACTCCCATATTAAACCCTGGAACAAAATCTAGGCTGATCAAAGTCAGATTGAACCCTGAATCAACTTCTTGGCTGATCATCTAAGTCAGGGCATAGCTAACTCACAGATCCAACCTTGAAACAACCTCTGGGATAAGTCAAAGTCATAGTATGGCAAACTCACAGATCGAACCCTGGAACAACCTCTGGGCTGATCAAGTAAGGGCACGGCTAACTCACAGATAGAACAGAGATCAGGACATGGCAAACTCACAGACTGAACCCTGGAACAACCTCTTGGCTGATCAAAGTTAGCAAATGGCCTGGCTAACTCACAGCCGGATTCATTCCTGAAACAATCTCTGGGCTAATAAGCTAGCATCTAAGTTCTTTTTAAGTTACCATGAATATTCTCAACAAAAAAAGTAGTTTTAAGGCTTTCGCGGTTGTCATCGACGAAAAGACTCATTTGATTTGAGCGTTTAAAATAAGTAACTGTAAACGGCCATAACATTTCAAGATTATGAATGTTATTTCGAGAATTTTCTGTTTGCAAAGTATCGTTGTTATGTGTTATGAGTTCATGTCGTCAAGCACGTTTATTCAATGAAGATATCCCATAATATACTAAGCATAGAGGGATCCCATAACAATCGTCGATTGTAGATAATATCTGTTATGATCCCTAATTTTAGGACCACGGCAAGTCCTCCAGAAAAATTCTCAGCTCTGGGAATTATTTTTTTATTCTTGCTATTTACTTTTTTTTATAGACTCCCCCCCCCCCCCTTTTCCCTATTAATTTAGTTACTTCAAAGTATTTCAAAGTAATTTATTTCAAAGTAGTGGAGGTTTAAGATAAAACTTGAAACAGTTTTATTCATAAGCATATTGGTGAAAATGTCAATGCCATATGGAAAATAGTACTTTAAACACTCTGGCAAATATCCAGAGTTTTAACAACTTTTCTTGGGGTTTTCTAAAACAGTCACTCGTGCACACAGCATATTACTAACCCAAAAAAGTCTACTAAGCCAAAGAAATGGAAAGAGCGCCTCGATATTAGTTAGAATATGACTGAAGTTTTAGCTCATCATTATTATTTGACGTATACGTCGATAAATAAAAAGAAATTGAATAGTTCGCATCATCAATTTTCGAATGTCTTTATTTACGAACAAATTTAAATAAAGCATTCACACTTTTTACCGACCTCGGACACAGGTTTTAATTATATATATTAATATACAATTTAAAACATTAGGCCAACCTGAATTAACTAAGAATCAATCTATCTACAAAGTCAGTATCGGTCATCGCAAATGCTTGCAGGTCCAATAAATCATAAATTGGCCTCTTGCTGTTTGGTAGAATATTTTAAAATATTTTAAAAACGGTTTTGACTGTGGTCTTTACTGCTTCTCGAATGTCTCGGATGCGCCACAAGTACAGAAGAGGATTCATTGCTGAGTTAAGCAATCCGATGAGCTCGGATGCAAGAACACCCATGTACGTGACGTCTAAAGATAACAGTGATGAGAGTTGTTGATCAGCTGTAACAGCAAAAGCAAGTAAAGTGCAAATAAATGGCGCATAAAATAGAATGGTGAAAATAAAAACTACGAACATAGTGGTAAGGGATTTTTTGTATTTGGCGACATCAATGTTGCAACTTGGACGTGCACCTGCTTCTGAGTTTTGGACACTTGGAGATACTGAGGACGAGGTTATCTTTCGTAAGCTGTAGAAGGCCATTGAATAGGAAATAGTGATGGTTACGACTAAAACAAGAGCTAAAATGCCAACAAAGAGGACCAAAGGTAAAAAAGCTGTATCATTTGAACTTAGTTTATCAAACAATGTTGCTGGAAGAACCCACGATATGATCCATACTGTCAGTAATGCGTAAAATACACGCTTCTTAGTTACGACACATTGATATCTGTTCCTTAGCTTGACTGCAAGCAAACGATCCATGCTTATGAACGTCAGAGTTACCAGAGATATGGCGCTGAATGCGAAAACTACACATGTAGTGCATTTTAATACAAGACAAAAAATATTGTTAGACCAGCCTTTTAGGGCAGCGATATTAAGAATGACCATGAGTGGTTCTCCTATGGCTCCGACGAGGAAATCAGAAAGAGCAAGACTTCCTATCAGGATGTAGGAAGGTTTGTGAAGGGATGGTGTCTTCCAGATGGAGATTAGGATCAGGAAATTCAAAACGGTTGTTACCAGTGCTGCTGTAGAGTACATAGTAGACATTACCAATGGATGATTTGGGTTATCATACTGGCTTCTTTCAAATGCGCAAGTCTCATCTTGAATGTCTCCCATTTTATAGATTTCTCCAATTCAGTAGTCGTTTTCTCTATTTATCAGTCTTCTTCTTCAACTTAGTCTTCACATTAATGAGCAAGAAGCCTTTCCTGAATAATTTTGATCTAGCATTGCCGGACTTTTCACAGATTTTGCCGATCAGAACGTTGGCAATCAAACGTTTCCTAGATACACTTTTCTGTACGGTCAATGGAATCAGCCGACTCGCCAGGCGACAGCTTTAATAAATTATTTTTTTTAAATGACCATGATATTTATTAGCAGATGCCGGCTTTTTTGCTCTCAGTGTGAACTAAAGGATAAGAGTTAAACAATCTCACGAATGCATGTTGTGATCATGCTCATTCTAAATACTTTACCTCTCTTGAAAACTCCATATTAACAAGCATTGCCCTTTTCTAAAAAAATGTTCGGATTTGTAATAAATTTCTTTAGCGTTCGCTTTTTTTCTTGTTAATTTCACTGAACTGCGTGGCTCGTTATTCCTCTAATGTCGCTTGCAGTAGCATTCATCTTTATATTATCGAAATACTTCTACTGCGCTATAAATAGATATGAATATGCATTTTAAATCGAACCAGGTGCTAAATGAGTGTTTAATTTTCACTCTCATTCATTTGCCTCTCGATTGTGAAATAAGAAATAGTCATCAATCGCGACCAAGTAATTGTGAGGGGCTGCTGAGCTTTTATTTGGTGTTTAAATAATCTTTAATTTCTTTCACAGTACGGTATGTCCGAAAGTAAACGCACGAAGTCTTAACAGCGTTGAAAGGTAGTGAAAAGAGATAACATTCTAATCCGACTAATCGCTTAAATATTTCAAAAAAGCCTCCCTCTGCAGACATCGTGTTTGAGTTATAATGCTTTTGTTTCACTAATATTTTGTTTAATTAAAGGTCGTGAACTCCCAACTAACACTTTAAGGTTGGTTTTCACTAGCGACATAAGCGACGGAAGCTTAAACATAAGCATAAGCATAAAATCGTTATGTTCTAGTGAAAATGAATGTGACGGAAGCATAAGAAAAACAATAGGAAGTTTCCCGTGCAGGGGACTGAGTACGAGAATTTGATTGGCTTACCACCACCATGTGCTTCTGTATGTTAGCGACGGAAGCATAAGAATCTGTGGTTTTCACTAGCGACGTAAGGACGGAAGCAGAAGCATAAGCATAAGAAAAAGGAAACCTTCTGTTGCTTCTGCTTCTGCTTCCGTCAATGTTCTGCTTCTGCTTACGTTTCCGTTTTTTGATTTTCGCAGGAACATAAGACGTCTTACGCTTCTGCTTCTGCTTCTGCTTCTGCGTCCGTCGTTAGTGAAAACCAGGCTTTAGTTTCTATAGGAGGTTGCAGTGAGAACTAGTGAGAATGAATGAACAACAAATTGCGTTATTTGAACCCTGAAAGAAAATTTGACTGATCTAAGTCGGGCAATAGCTACCTCCTACATCGATCCCAGAGCTGACCATGTTCAGGGCAAGGCTAGCTCCCAGACTAGCTTCGAACAACCTCTAGGATTGATCAAAGTCAGGGCAGTTTCTAACTTACAGATTGGGTCCCGCAAAAAACCTCCGGTGTGATCTAAGTCAAGCTAGACGGCATAACGCTTACTCAAACGTTAAGTCTTTAAACAACCTCTAGGAGACTGAACCTTTACTCAACCTCTGGCCGGGCTGATGTAAGTCAGGGCGTGCCTAAACAACCTCTGAGCTGGTCAAAGTCAGGGCATTTCTAACTTGCAGGATGAAACTCTGAAACGATCTTTGGGCTGATCAAAGTCAGGGCACACTTAACTCACAAATTTAACGCTGAAAAATCCTCTGGGATGATCAAGGTCAAGGCATGGAAAACTGACAAAGATTGAAACTTCAAACAAACTCTAGGCTGATCTAAGTCAGGGCACACTGTGCTCAAAGCGTAGTACAACGGTGCCCGTTACAATAATAACATGACCATATGACAAAAGTTTAACAGTGGTCTTTTGTAATAAACAGATTGAAACTCTGAAACAACCTCTTGGCTGATCCAAGTCAAGCAACGGCTGACTCGTCAGATTGACCCCTAAAATAACCTCTGAAATGATCAAAGTTGGGGCATGGCAAACTCACATATTGAACCTTAATCAAACTCTAGGGCGATCTAATTCAGGGCAAATGGTGCTCGATGTATGGTGTAACGGTGTCCGTCTCAATGATAACACTGATGACCATGGTAAACGTTAAATAGTGGTTTTCACTGCTTCTCGAATGTCTCGAATGCGCCACAAGTACAACAGAGAATTCATCGCCGAATTAAGTAGGAAGAGAAACTCAGCTGTAGATATAGAGATGAAGATTATGTCATCGGTTGACCTTGGGTCTGTGTAGTAACCTGGGGCGAGTCACGTGACTTTGGAGCACGGGACTCGAGAGCAGCCATGTTTATTTGACAGTGCTGAGTTTGTTCAAGAATAAAGTACTAGACTACACTGTAGTCGCGGTCTACTTCATTTTATCATTTACTCCTTTTATCATTTCTTACTTTCTGGAAGAAATCATTGTGCAAAGTTTAATGTGTGCAAGTAATTGCAAAAAAATTATTTTCCTTGAATTTCCCCGAAGGACCTGCTGTGTTACTAAAATGTCAGGAGCTGGAGTATGGATCATCGCAAACGATATCCGTACAATCGATGACACTTTGCAAAAAGAAAATTTTCGTGTGGCATCTTGAAGTGTAATGGTCGTTTACAATTACTAATTTCAATAACTTAGATGTGTGTGGAATGAGTGTTTGCATCCGTGACTATCGCGAAAGCGTTAAAACTGACTTTCTCACGGTACCTTGAAGGTGACCACCATTCAGGTTGTCGAAACGTCAGTCACCCTGACCACCAACAATAGACTTTCTCAAGACTACACTCACCCGGGCGATCTCACAATATTCATGCTAATGTGAAGTTAGAAACAACTAAGATGCTACGGAACTTAAACTTAGAAAGAGGCTAGCAAAATGCCAGGCAGAGATTTCCCATGAAGAAATCTGTGGGGTTCCTAAAATGCAACGACTCCATTGTCATTAAAGTACATATCAGGGTTCGCTGTTTTTTGTTTAATGTGATAGTTTTAACCCTTAAGATCATGTTATCACTAAAAATTATTTGATTGTGTTGCGATTTCATTATTATTTTTCGATCAAAGTTTCCAAAAAGCAGCAAAATGCCGAGCGACGTGGAGGCCTGGGACTAGTCGGCCGTGACGTCATTTACGGGACTCGTGGGTTGAAAGCACTTGAGAAGCATAAGAAAACTAATTGCATCGCTTGTAGTCGTATAAACCTTTTATTCCAAGTCAATTCTGTATGATTGCAGTAGTGAATACTCTGAAAGTAGCAACTATTCTGATTTTAATGAAGAAAGGTAGATATTTGCTAGAAACCCACTACGAAACAAACCCAAGATAGCGATTACATCCAGGTATTAGACCTGTTTACCACTATGGTCTTTGCGACTGCCTGCTGGAAAAAAGAAAATGGCATCCGAGAAACGGTAAGCAAAAATTTGTCGCAGAGTTTTATCGACATCACCCGATAAATCTGTCTTGTTATGTTTTCGGTACCCGTGAAAATACATTCTAACTTTGGTCTCTTCGTACTTTTCGAAGGGTTCTTGTACACTTTAAGCACAGAGGAATTATAAAGATTTCTTAAAAAGCTATTTTCTATAGAATTTAACGAACGGCGATCTCAAAAACGAAAAGAAAAAATTGGCGCTCAATAAGCGCATGTGGCTGCTGCCATAAGAGATAATTGTTATATAGAAAAGGAATGGAAGTTGGTAGCTGACTATTGAGTCTATTGAGATATATGAAAGATATATCGGTAATTCAGTGAAATATGCGGTGTTGCCGAAAAAAATATAAATGTTGAAGGTAAAGTATTATATAGGTTTAATGTTGATATCGATTTTATGAATTTTAGGGCTTAAATTAAGATTGGTAATGGGAAATGTATGTTTTGTTTTATGTGCTCGTGTTTGTTGTAAGATATTATTATTTCGATGGGAGAACAACAACTTTATTCCAAAAACGACAAGGTATAAAATACATTAAATGAATAGAATAGAACAGAACAATATATGAAAGAAGATTGGAACAACGTCTGACTCAGAAATGGGTTCGATTCCCGTCTGGGGCTCAGATTTTTCTGAGTCAGACGTTGTTCCAAGTCTTCTTTCATATGGAATAAATTACAACAGTGCAAAGTACCGTATAATTTGGTATAAATATTAAGGAGATACTATCAATCCCACTATGGGGCTGAATTATCCTCCGAAGAGGCTCATTTATCCTCCGAAGAAGCTCAATTATCCTTCGAAGAGGCTCAATTATCCTCCAAAGAGGCTGATATTTTTTTATCTGCAGATTGACTGAGGTCAGCCATGTTTGTTTTCGCTCTCTTGTCAGATGAAAATCTCGGCGTAAACATCGATCGGCCTGAATTTTGAATAACACCTACAAAACCTTTCTTTTTGTCGTATAGAAATACCAAATGAAAGCTGTGATTAATAACATGGTTTAACTTTATGAAAACACTTATAACTTACTTGTCTTAAACAATCTACACCGTAGTAATCGACCAAGTAAAAGCTTGAGATCAACTACGACAGGTTCCATTTGTCGTCATCTCTTCGGTTACTCTTCGGTAAGAGGGAAATTACAATATTTAAGCCGTGATTGGTTCCGAAGTTTATCTATTGTTACGGACTTACTTACACAACTCAATGACAGAGTGGCTTCCCCTCTACGAGGCAGCAGCCACAAAAAGGGGTATCCGGAAAGATCGCTTGTGTGGTTCTCTAATTTTTGAAGGAATTATTTACAACATGAGATGGGAGAATAAAAGATACATCAAAACTAAAAATGATATTTTACAAGCTGTTTTGACTATGCTCTCGTGAAACAAGGCATCTCTTTTATCCTGTGGTTTCAAAATTTCAGGCATTGTACTGTTAAGCGGTGAC